GAGAGGAGAGCGAGAGAGAGACGAGAGACGGGAGAGAGGAGAGAGAGGGGTGTGTTGTGTGGTGTGTGTGTGTGTGTGTGTGTGGTGTGTGTGGTGTGTGTGTGTGTGTGAGTGTGTGTGTGTGTGTGGTGTGTGTGTGTGTGTGTGGTGTTGTGTGTGTGTGTTGTGTGTGTGTGTGTGTGTGTGTGATGTGTGTGTTGTGTGTGTGTGTGTGTGTGTGGTGTGTGTGTGTGTGTGTGTGTGTGTGGTGTGTCTGTGTGTGTGGTGTGGTGTGGTGTGTGTGTGTGGTGTGTGTGTGTGTGTGTGTTTGTGTGATGGGTGTGTGTGTGTGTGTTGGCGCCTGACCTCACATCAATAACCAAAAATAACGAAACTTCGCGAGGTATGTTGTGCTTTGTACCCAATGAAAGCGTTTCCGCTGTTTGAAATGTGCCACCGATTGATGTTCATCGTTTTTATGCGCCGGATGGTAGGGTGGGCCTGTACCAGGAGACGGTGCGCGCTTATGAGGTCGTGCTGGGCGACGGTACGCTGGCACGCGTGACCCGCGACAACGAGTACCAGGACCTGTACTACACGCTACCCTGGTCACACGGAACACTCGGCTTCCTGGTGGCGCTCGAGCTGGAGATCATCAGGGTCAAGGTGGGGGACCTCCACAACCATTTTGCATTATATGGCGATGGGATACAAATGTGCTTCACCTGCTCATATATGTTGTGCGCGCGGTTAGGCTGCGCTTCCACAAGCGGTGGCTCGTGGAACTACTGCTTCAAGTTCCCGACGATCACAAAAACGATGCCTGGGTCTGTATGTATTTGTCACGTGTCGTACCCGTGAGATGCCCCTGACTCACTCGCTACCATTTTACCCACGAACGTATCTTAGCGAACTCAGTCATCGGCGCAGACATTTTCTGCCTACACCTCTGGCTAAATTAAGAGTCCGTGATGAATCGGTCGTGTGTCCCACGAAACAGTGGCGAAACAAGTTTGGTTCACGTTATACGAGCAGAAGCAGTTTTCTGGGCATTTCATTTTCACCCGCTCTTGTACATGTCCCTGGCTACACACTTGTGACATGTGTTCGGCCTGATGTTGTCTGCCTGCGTAGCCATACGTGCACATGGAGTACATCCCGGTGACCGGCCAGAAAAAGTACTGCGACATGATGCGGGACCTCTCCGGCGCCTGCGACAAGGATAAACAGGCAAGCAAATTGTCTCACTCGTAAAGCTGGTGTGATTTGACGGAATCTGACTGTTACTGGCCGATCGCCATCATACACAACGGGATTTAAGTATGAAAGGGACTTTTCCATAAAGGTTTGAATTTTATGATCGAGTAGGCATTTCAAGATTTTTCCTTGGAGTTCACGACCATGTCCTTTTGTAAGACTCCAAAGCGTCTTGTTTCTGAGCTTGACGCACGCAAACTTGAGCAGCTATTTCGCGACGCCTATTTCGAAGTCACCAAACATGTATGAGGTCATAGAACCGTCACACGAATGCCCCACGTCATTCGCTGTGCTGTGCTCACGGTCATGAAACATACGGCCCCCGGGCGTTCGTGTCTGGAGTATGTCGGCACGAAGTGTTTCAACGATGGAAGGCAATTAGCCAGCGACCATTTGAAACTACTGATGGCCTGTATTAACCACGAACCGGGTTTTGTGAAAGAAAACACAGGCATTTGGGCAATGCTACTAGTTTTGACAGACATGATCCCACCAACTAGTTAGCATCCGGTCGTTAATACGTCATCGCTTGATAACGTTATGGAACGTTTTTTTATGACGTCAGAGTCGCTGTCAGTCTGTCCATGTCATAACTGCTGCTCTGTCCCTTGTGGTTCGTCTACGCACTGTAAGATAGCGTTAGTGGTCTAGCTGTTTAAGTTTTTATTACTTGCGGTATGCGCTTGTGGTTTGGCTTTTTATCTTGGTGTTCTGGCATATTTTTCCGTGATATATATATATATATATATATATATATATATATATATATATATATATATTACTAGTATTTACATTCTCGATTACGGTGCTTTTTTAACTTATGCGGTCGTAAATAGCAGAACTGTCCAAATACCTATCTTATTTATTACAAAACGTGGTTCGTGATCGATACAAGCCATCATCAGTTGAAACTAGCTATAAGCCAATAGCCTTCTATCATTGAGACACTTGATCCTACTTCACCGAAAGCACGAAGAAGAAACCGGTCAAACTTTTGTTGACCACGGGCACAACACGGTCAACGAGGTGGGCTATTCGCGTAATGTATCTACGACGCCATACATATCTGGATGGCTCTCTCAGAGGCAGCGCCTAACAGGCCGCACATGTTCACGTGCACCAAGTTCAGATACAAAAGGATCTGAAGGTTTTAAAAGGACATGACTGTAAACTGCTGGTAATTATGATGAGAATTGCGTTCTCAGTTCAAATCCCAAACAAATGGAGAACAGACCCTTTTAATTACACAAGCCCGTTGGGATATATTTCATATCGATTAGCAGTTGCAGTGAGTTATGCATAACCGCGAAGGATCAGTCGGGTAAAACGGCGACATGATTTAGCGAGGGTAGTGGCACACTGATCATGCGTGTTGGCCTCTGAATCGTGTGTTCGGTCTGCTATGCTATGCATGTTCTGGTTATCCGGTTGAGCGACGGCTCTTCGCATGCTTTGCACCCTCGGTGACTTGTTCAGTGCGTCACTCGTGTCTTCAGACGGCGGACTACCTGGAGGGTACCGTGTACAGCAAGAACCAGGCGGTCATCATGGTCGGCAACCTGGCGGACCTGCCGGCCGGACAGGAACACAAGGTCAGTTACGAGGCTCCAACGGCCCGGCGCACTTGCCGGCCCCACGGGAACACGAGGTGGGTCGCGTCGCACCGGCGTGGGCTGTTTTGATGGAGGGCGCTGGCACCTCGGCCCCTATCAACCCTGGCAAACATGTACGGTTTTGGAAGATGTCCAGTTTGGGACGGTTTTCACAGCAATCTGATGATTTAGTCACCGTCATTGAGACTCTGCGACGCACTCAAGCTGCTGAAGCGGCTTGGCGTCGCCTTGCTCGCACCCTGGTGGGAAGAGCGGGCGCCGCGGGGTATCTAACCCCGTGCCTCTGGATTCCAAGACGCTCAGCTTAACCACTACATTACCAGCACCCCGATAATTTATCAACCTAAATGCTACCGGCGTTGACCTAACAGCACTAGCCGCTTCAGTGGTCCGGAGCTGCTGGTCTGATTTCAGCTGACGGAATCTGACCTATGGCTGATTTCAGAGATAATCTGATCAGCAAACATAGTATGTAGCGAGGTAATTGTTGGGCCGTCGCGTCGCTCCCGGGCATCCTCCCATAGGCAGTTGTAGATTCTGAACGCTGTATTTTCTACTGTGTAGTACAGTAACGCCACTATTTTTTGCCAATATTTTTGAAGGATTTTTCGATATTACGGCATAATTCGCCGTCGATGCAGGATAATTTGAGGTATACCATATTTTTTTTCTTTCTGGTGGATGAGCGCGACTGGAACGCTGGTTGGTATCTTTTTAATTAAGATTGAAATTATCTCGGGGAATGTCTGTTACTTTGGAATCTAGGTGCGACACGGATTTTGCTGCAGTGAATTGCCTACCGCGTGGTTGAAAGATAAACAGCCGCCGTGGCTAATTAAAAAGAAAAAAATTGTGTGGCCCTGGATGTGCGGATTAATAATGTAAGGTTATGCCAGTGTGCGTTTCTTTTACGTAAAGCTTAGTTCGTACTTGTTTCGGGACGTGTCAAGAGGACGTCTAAACGGGAAAGAGCCGTGCTCATCCTGACCCCCGGGTGAAAACTGAATGGATCGGTGATAAGAGTTCATGTGGTCTTGAAATCCACAGAAACGCAACCAACTCCTTGAATTGCGCCAGCACATTTGACCAGTTCCATGTCACTACTTGAAAACTTAAAAGTAAAATGCTTCCTTGGAGCTCCCTACAGTTGCCTTTTTTATTCACAGTTGATGTATCACTAAACACCAATGTTCCTATGGATAATATCATCGCGGAAATGCCTGACGTACCTCAGGGCCGTGTCAGCATAAGTTAGTTTGCCTTCCGCGCTTGATGGCGCAGATCTCATGAGATTACGCATAAACGACAGCTTTTCAACAAGAAAACGTAAACTTAAAGCAAAACTCCGGGTAGCGATGGGAAGCATGACTATCTGTAAAATATGACAAAATGTGCATTTTTGGCCGTGCAGCACAGTGCCGTGACGGGGCGGCGCGGGTCCGCGCGCGGCGTGGGCCGGGAGCGGAATATCCCGGGCCGGGTGGCACTCAATCCACAACGCCTCAGTTTGAGCCCTAGGTCGTGCAACAAGGGAAATGTTGCGCGCGTTATTTTCAAGAGCTTCTGAAGGTTTGAGGAGCTTTCAGCCTTCGCATTTGGAAGCAAAATAAGGTTTTGCCAATGAGAAGCTGTGCTGAGCAACGGCGGCGACGTGCTCTCGTGTCAAAATGCATCCGCGGCTAGTGGATGGGAAGCCACATTACACGTTAACTGCAATTTGGACTTCGGCCGACGTTTGAGGCACAGTAGGTTTCGGGCCATAACCGTATCCAAGACCTCGCCGTCCAGCTTTGAAATGGTCTCACGGGGAGCGGAAACCATTGACACCGGAGCGACGAACGCAACTCGTACTCCCTTTGCAGGTGAACCACATCGCGCGCTGGTACAAACCCTGGTTCTACAGACACGCCGAGAGCTTCCTGAGCGGGGGTCGGGCGGACGAGTACATTCCGCTGCGGGAGTACCTGCTGCGCCACAACCGCGCCATCTTTTGGGTGGTCGAGGCCATGATACCGTTCGGCAACAACCCGATCTTTAGGTGAGGTCTTGCGCCCTGCGTGCAAAGGAATATGTCATGCTTCAGAAAACAGCAGAGAATCACGTAAAATTCCGCTGAAACGGGCTGTTTCTGCTGCATGATCCGTCCTGCCGCGTCCAGCGATACCACATTTACGTGGCAGCCAATCAGCGTCGTCTTTCCCAACATGATGATCGGTGCATGGCGCATGATTGTGCGGATCAAATGTGTGCACATGTCGCGCGCTTCACGTGGCTAGGAAAAATTATAAGCTCGTGGTAATAATGAAACATGAACGCTCTTTGTGCAGGTTTTTCCTTGGTTGGCTGCTGCCGCCGAAGCCAGCCTTCTTGAAGCTCACTACAACTCCAGGAGTCCGGGCTATGACTTTCACCAAACAAGTGAGATGGCGAACTGCCTTGGCGCTGCGGCAGGGAGCACCGAGTCACTGGCGCGCCGTGCAGCCCAGGATTGGACGGAAAAAGAATTGAGGCGTTTCATATGCAGTGCCCAACTGTCTGTAGCCTGTTAATTGATCGCGATACATATCTCTTTAAGATATGACAGCAAAAGCGCACTATAAAGGTGGCATGTTCAAATTTAAACCGGGTTTTTATATTACTGATTTCGTTTGGTGATTTTCTTCAACCGAATGCCTTCTTGTTGAACTTTTCGGGCGTCATAGAATGACGCGCCACCATGCAAAACATGGAATCTAGAACTACGACAAATACTGTAAAGCCCGTCCCATATTTCAGGTATTTCAAGACATCGTTCTTCCCATGAACATTCTTGAAAAGCAGATCGACATAAGCGAGGAGCTCTTTGACACGTACCCCGTGTTGATCTACCCGTGCCGTATATACGATCACGGGAAACACACGTAAGTCTGTGTCCACGCTAAGCCATCCCATCTGACTGTCAGTCTAACGCCGCTTGTTCAATTAGAGATGCGGGTTGTGATCTGGTTGCGTATGCTATGAACGGTAGGCATGGCACGTAACACCCTGCACAACAAAGAAGACGATCGTAAACGATTTGTCATGAAATTCTCTGATTTACTTAGCTAGGTGGATTAGCTGACAAATGAGTATCAGAAAACTCATCGACGCCTTTTCTACATTGGTGGGGTGGGGGTGGGGTTCGGTGCGGCCTCCCTAAGGTTTTCTTAGGATACCTTTCCTGCACGTCGTGCACATGCGCCCAAGTTTTCGGCAGTCTATGTGGCATCCATTACGCATGTTTTGACACAAAAAGGTACCCCTAGCATTTGAGGTTTCTGAAGAGCGACGTCAATTTAGATATAATGCACGGTGATATACGGTTGGCGCGTGCGGCGGGCGGCAACCGACAGTTCCCCGGACCACACGCGGCGGGTCGACCCTGTTACATTAACGAAGCCCTACATCATAAAGATATGCTCGAAACATCTAGAAATGCATTCTGTCGTACTCAGAATTGAACAAGTATACGCCTCTTAAGTTTTGTGTTGCTGTGAGGCGTGGTCTCGTACCTACACATGAGCATGTAAAGCCGAAAAGGTGAGATTGTCGGAAAAAGTTGACATTTGACCTGGCTTAGTAGGATACATTCTTGACCCAGCATCCTAACTTTTGTTATAAATCGCGAGATTTGGTCGAGACCAATCGACTGTTGCTTTTCCGAAGGCTATATGTTTCATAGTTTGGGCACGGCAGGAGGACCGTCGCACCGATCGCCCCCTTACCAGTCGCGTTACGAAAAGCGTCGAATCAGGGCGAGGTTTAACAGGTGACGCAGGATTACCCGCCCCTGTTCACTGTGGCACGCAAAACGTCACGTTAATACCGCCACTAGCAACTGAGGTTGTGAAGGCTGCGTCGCTGGTGATGTTGGTCGCCATCGCTTAAGCGCGCCATCGGCGCATTCAAGTCAGCAATGGACGATATGCTGGACTTCTCTTTGGAAAGAGCGATGGATTCGGCTGGGATCTGTGAAGGCTTGGTTGGTCCAGGATCGTGGAGACGCATGCCGGCTAATTCTTCAAACAAAGACAAATCCGTAATCTTAAGCCTGGCTTCCGCGTTTTTTTCGGCTTGTTTAAACGTGAAGTGAGGTGCAAAGTGGATAGGTGTGCCCTCTGGTCAAATTAGCCGCTTTTCCAAAAAAGCTCGGTTTTGACAATCACGATTAAAGGGCCTCGCTCAGTATACAGTGGCCCAGAATCGATGTGTTGTAAATTGGGGGATAAGTGGACCATTTTAGGGGGAGGGGGCTAAGGTGGCCCCCTAGCCCGAGAACCATGTATCTATATATATATATATATATATATATATATATATATATATATATATATATGTATATATATATATATACATACATATGTATACATATTTGACGTCCGTCACTTTTCGGGGAATGGCTGCCAGCTCCATCAGCAGTGTGAGAAACAACCAGGATTTAATAGATATGAGCCGGTGTGTATTACTAGGCAAAGCTGTACAAGGAGCTTCAAGAGCCCCCCCCCCCCCTCGGGTCTTTCCGGAGTACATTTTGACGGTTTCGGGCACAATGTACCGTGCTCAGTGAGATAACCTAGATCTATTTTCGTATCCATATCACTCTGAAGTATATTGCTGTTGTCCTGTTTTTTGTAGTCAGGTCATCCCACGTCAACCGAGGAAGGCTTCATCACTTTGTCACAGCCATCTGGTTCATTTTTACGAGAGCTTTCCATTGCCGTTTTCTCCATGTCTTTAGCTTGTTTTGTTTCGGAGATGTGAGGACGGCCTGTGATGTGGTCGGCCCCGTGCGAGTGAAAAACATGCGTAGTGTGAGGGCTAATGAGAAGCTCTTTCCATGGAATGTATTTGTTTTTCCAGTCCGTACCTATGCAGTTGGGCGGCTGCTTCGCTTTTCAAAGTTGATATGGCCGCTGTCACGCCTGTCATGCCATATTCTCTGTCCTTCATGGTTTGTAAATCGTTTCAGCTGTTAAGTGCATTTGTGAGGAACATTATGCATATAGATAAGACAGCACTGTTGTCGCCATAGGATAACCAGGAGAAAGGATAGATGCATTGATATTTCGGGTACTTGTATTTATCGAAACTAATATGAGTAATGCATTCAACATGCAAAGTTGCCTTTCGATCACACTCGATTTTTCCTTTTAATAGCGAGCAACAGCTTTTACAAGTCACCAACATTTAGGGGATTAAAAGATGAGCAATTGGCAGCCATTGATACGATACGGTGTGTATCCAACTAAGTATTAAAGAGAATGCTCCTCATTTGCATGGGGTTATGAACCAAAATAGCGATCTTGAAGATCATTTGCAAAGCCTTTACACTTTGTTTATGCTATGGTATAAAGAAACTACGATGCCCTTACACTTACCGCTATATTCAACCGTTATATCATCATTTTTACTAAGGTCTCTGGCAAGCTGATCTGTAGTGACATTTAGTTTGTCCACTTTATGGTTTTTGAAAGCTTGAAAATTCTGCTGAAGGTGATACCAGGATCTCCTGAGACTTCTGCCGTCCAAAGGTAAAACTCCACATGTCCATTTCTGGCCATTTTGCGTTTTTTTATGTCATCTGATTCGTCTCCTCATCATAAATTCAGATTGTTAAACCAATGATTCATATTTGCACGCGCTTTTAGTTAAAATAATGCGTTAAAAGCTTGTGAAAATTTGGACCGATGGTTTTAATAACCAAATCTAGCATGAGTAGACGCATCAGAAGACATCAAAAACCTAAAACGGCCAAGAATTAACACATGGGGTTTTACCTTTGGACGGCATATCTACAAACATTGTAAGTCTTGCAATGTGTTGTAGATATCAGAAGGCCTCCGGTTATCTGGAATCTGGCCACGTTCTGAGATCCAGGTTCTTTTTAGGTTTTGCTGAAGAATGCTCTTGTGTCTGAGATGTTTTTGATGTGTACCAAGAATTTTCTAAGATCTGGGTTCTTTAAACAAAAAGTTGCTTAAGAGTTTTGAAAGGCTTGGGATCCTGTTTGAAACATTGTGGAAGCGTGTTTTGTGATTTAGGATTTCCATGGGATCCAGGGACACGTCTGCCTTGTCGTTGCCCATTTCTCCCCCTCTCCGCTTGAGTGGTGTACGATCACTCTTGACCCCCGACACTCCGGCAGGGGTCAGCTGCGTCCCCCGAGGCCTGACCAGCTGTGCCCTGGTGCCGGCTGGGCCATGTTTAACGACCTGGGCGTGTACGGCGTGCCGGGACCGGTGCGACGCAAGCAACGATACGATGCCGTTCGCCAGATGCGCGCCATGGAGAAGTCAGTCACTGCTGGCGAACGGGAGCTTCGCCGGCACAACGCGCTTATAAGAACCGCGAACTGCGTTTTGAAGTTTTCCTTGTGTATAATATGGTACCCGGTTGTGACAAAAGTGTTTTCATGCCAGCATATGTGGGAGCCAGCAATTTTCTTTCTTTATTGTTTCGACGCCTTACCAATCTGACTGGGTCAGTTATTTTATTGACATGCTCATGAGCGCAAATGAAATATCTTGTGGAATTGCAACTCGCGTGTTCCCTACAGCATAAGAGCTGTACGTCTGCGTGTCACGTGCCCAGGTGATCCCCTTTGCTCGTCTGATAGCCAACTGTCCGTGCCCTGCAGGTTTTGCCGGGATGTTGGCGGCTACCCTTTCCTTTACGCCGACATCTTCATGTCGCGGAAGGAGTTCGAGGAGATGTTTGACCTGACCGCTTACGAGCGCGTTAGGGACAAATATCACGCCAACGGTGCCTTCCCTCACCTGTACGACAAGGTATCTACCAATCGGATGATGCTCATAGCTAATATTCATGATAATAAACTGGCTGTACCTATAATCCGCCATGAGAAATATCGCGTTTTTGTTTTAACGTGCTAGGTATTTTGCGTTATTGTCTTGAGTATAGTATTTTGTCATCATTCAGTGCTGTTTTAAGGTTCTTTGAACTGCGAAAGTTTCGTTATTCTGTCGCAATGGCTTACTGAATAATTAAGCAAATTCGACCAAATATTAGCATCAAGAACCTCACGAATTATTTACCCGCCGCCCCCGAAGTTCGGAAAAAACACATGGCTGGTTGAGCCGATCACAAAATGACAGCCCGGCTAAACCGATGAGGGAATCGTCTGCATAATGAACTTCAAACAACACTAGACCGCGCCGAACATTGTCCAGCGCGAATGCTGCCATTGCAGCACGCACTTCGCTTTTCGGCTACCGCCATACGGAGGATTTCCCGTGGGTGGCCGCTAAATAGTGGCGCGTACCCACTCACGCTCTGTATTCCGGGCCGCACACATCCAACTCACGCTCTGTATTCCCCCGAGGCCCGCCAACATCCAACCACGCTCTGTATCCGGGGGCCGCCACATCCAACTCACGCTCTGTTATTCCCGAGGCCGCCACACATCCAACTCACGCTCTGTATTCCCGAGGCCGCACACATCCAACTCACGCTCTGTATTCCGAGGCCGCACACATCCAACTCACGCTCTGTATTCCCGAGGCCGCACACATCCAACTCCCGCTCTGTATTCCCGGGGCCGCACACATCCAACTCCCGCTCTGTATTCCCGAGGCCGCACACATCCAACTCACGCTCTGTATTCCCGAGGCCGCACACATCCAACTCCCGCCCTGTATTCCCGAGGCCGCACACATCCAACTCCCGCTCTGTATTCCCGTGGCCGTACACATCCAACTCCCAACTCCCGCTCTGTATTCCCGGGGCCGCACACATCCAACTCCCGCTCTGTATTCCCGAGGCCGCACACATCCAACTCACGCTCTGTATTCCCGAGGCCGCACACATCCAACAACGGCTGAAGCTACATATCACCGACCTTGCGTCGATTATCGAAATCTGGTTTCGACCATCGACGCTCAACAAAGTGGTCGGGACGCCCGGCGACAGCATTTCTCGCCAAAGCAGAGCGCGGGAACGTATTGGAGGGGCGTAGTTTTTAGTCAAAGGCCTCCGACTCGCTTGTTTTGAAACGAAACTGGGTCATATGCGGAGAGTGCTCCGTTTTTAGTGTATTTTATGGATAAGATTGGTCATTTTGCTCAGCCCCCCCGTCCCTCCCCCACCAAACCTACCTTGCGAAACTGCACCCCTGTGGTGGAGGCTTAACGACTGAGACACGCTATGCATTCGCTACCACGGTATAAACATCCAGCCCACAGTGCGTCATAGTTAGGAGGCAAGGGGATCAAAATCGATGTCAAGTGATCTGCAGCGCACACCAACAACGTGATGCACGGCAGTAAACCAGGCTTTCGACCTTATATCGAAATATAATTTACATACGTAGCAGTGGAAGTACACTTTCTTTGCACATTAGGTCTTATTCGTGGGGGCAGCCTCAGAGGGCTGGGACCGCCGGTGCGCTGACTTTGCTGTGGATAGGTAGGTCCATGTCGCGTATGTATGCAGTCTCGAGCACATGTAATCGTCTCACACTGTGGCATCTGCCCGCGGCAGCGGTGCTATCTACCAGCTGTTGTATGGGGGGTCGCAGGTCATGGTGGGATTTCGCATGTGTTTTTGGGCCGCCGCCCTGGATGTACAATGTGGTGCGTCTATTGTGTGAGGTGGTTGCCATTCCAATGCAATTACAGCTGAGGTGGAACGGCCCATCTTCGAAAGGGTACTCGTAACTCTACATTACAGTGGATTGCTTCAGTAGAGCTGTCCCACCAGTCAGGCTTTCAAAAGCATGTGTCATGATATTTTAGTAAAAGATAGCTAGCCGCATCTGCGGCTGGTCCCCTGGTGGCGCTTACCTGCAGCGTCTGCTGATGATTGATCGTGCGAGCCTTCCATCGGCTTTGTACGCCTGCGACATGTTGTTCTTGCAGTACAGTGTGTGGACTGTAACGTCCAGAGCAGTACAGTGTGTGGACTGTAACGGTCAGAGCAGTACAGTGTGTGGACGGTAACGTCCAGAGCAGTACAGTGTGTGGACTGTAACGGCCAGAGCAGTACAGTGTGTGGACTGTAACGTCCAGAGCAGTACAGTGTGTGGACTGTAACGTCCAGAGCAGTACAGTGTGTGGACTGTAACGGCCAGGGCAGTACAGTGTGTGGACTGTAACGTCCAGAGCAGTGACGGTGCGGGCCACGTAGACTAGATCAAGGCTATCTTGCGCGATGGAACGGTCCGGTCTGAAAAGAGTGGCAACAGACACGTCGAGGCTTAAATAAGTCAGTCAGCTGTTCACGGTATTTTGATCACTTAAGATGACGCAAGTGGAAAGGTCAAGTGATAGATACCATGTCGACGTGGGGCAGATGCCGCAGTAAAAAAACAGCTTATACTCATTGGACCCCATCAGACCGTACCTCTTTGGGACAATTCGTTTCCAGACCCCCATTTGAGTGACCCTGGGCAAAGCATTTCCTGCCCTTATTCGCCGTTTTCCATAGCGCGAAGTGTTGGTGGAGGGGACAATGCGATCCCTCCGCCATTCCGAAACTAATAAAGGTGGAGCTTAGCGGGAAAAAGCAGTGGATTGGTCTCGACGAAATCTTACAATTGGTAACACACTTCACGTTGCTAGGTCAATGCTTGATCCCATTATTTAGAAGATTAGGTTGCTGGGCCGCCCCTTCAGGTAATTTATACAATTTATACAATGCCACACCCATTTCTTCCCTGGGATGTATTTTGCAAGGCATCGTTTTTCATTTTAATTTAGAGCTCCCTTTTTTAGGCGAGGGCCATCATACGTAAACACAGTGCATGCTTTCTGCTTATAAAATGCTGATGCTTCCGATAATCTGGCATTCAAGGGTCTGTTATGGTTATTTCATGGAGACCATAAGCATGTCTCTGTTCTAAGTTCTTAATGCGCTCAGGGGATGTGCGGCACTGGTGATCTTCCTTGCGCCCTGCGACTTGTCGCGCTGTAACCGTGACCCTCGACGCGCTGTGACCGTGACCCTTGTCGCGCTGTGACCGTGACCCTTGTCGGCGCTGTAACCGTGACCCTTGTCGTGCTGTGACCGTGACCCTTGTCGCGCTGTGACCGTGACCCTTGTCGCGCTGTAACCGTGACCCTTGTCGTGCTGTGACCCTTGTCGCGCTGTGACCGTGACCCTCGACGAGCTGTGACCGTGACCCTCTTTTGTCGTCAGGTGAAGCCCGAGATTGACGTGGTGGCAGTCGGGGAGGAGTACATAGACCCGCTGTAGAGTCTCGCCCCCCGAACTCCGCTGCGCCGTCTGCAGTATGCCGTTCACCATCGTGCCACGACACCTGCCGTTGAATCACGTCTAAGAGTGACATGTGCCGCGTTTACCAAGCTGTCTGATGGCGACCGACCTGTTACATCTGAAGCACGCGTGCTGGTGCAGTATGTGCTGGCACTGATGCGTGCCACCCAGTGGCACGTGTTTGGGGACGGCATGTGCTGACGCGTCATTCGAGAGTGTGCATCAAGTTGGCTGGTAGCATCAAGCCTTTTGTGACGGGTACCACTCCTGCAGCTTTCGTCAATATATGGACGGATGGTCACCACGTTCCACCACTCTACCACTCAAATGTGGTATCCAGCTTTAAC